TAAAGTGTGTCACTGAAAAGCCCAGTCTAGTAGTAGTAGTAGTAGTAGTACTCCTGCCAACCCTGCAGCCAAGCAGCCAGGGTTGACAGCTGCACAAACAGCGCATTTCCTCAGAGCCACGCATGGATTGAGGGGTATACGCCCCTGCATGCCATGGGCAAGCTTCTTGGGATCCGACGCGCCAGGATACCTCAGCTCTCTTTAACTCACAGAGTTTAGGGTGTAGAGTTTAGGGTGTATCGAGGGTTTAGGGTCGGGTTCACGGCATGGGGGAGCTCCAGAAGGGATCCCTGAGCCATGATGCCCTTTAAGGGATCTGTGTCATCTCAGACAAAAAACAGAAATATGCCGCTGTTTGGGAGGCTGCGACAAAGGGCTCCGTCGGGATATTTGTTCATCCATTCTTCCAGCATTCGGCTTAAGACTTTGAATTCAGGGTTGGGGTTTAGGGTCTGACGGTCTACGGTTTAGGGCCGCGTGGGAAGCGTGTTCATGAACGGAAATCATCGAAGCCCGTGCCTACAGTCTGCATGAGACTTCATCCTCAGCTGCTTCGTTGCTCTGCTTAGGATGAACCCAGGACAGGAGCGCCAACCCTAAACCGCTAAAGCTCCAACATAGATGAAGCTTGAAAACCCTTGAGACACTACCTCCAAAACCCTGAACCCTAAACCATATATACATATATATATCTCTCTCTCTCTCTCTCTCCATCTCTATCGATGCCGACCGAGCTGCCCAGGCCCAATCCCGGGGCAGCAGCCGCACAGCTTAGCGCGTGACGCTTGGTGGGTGGCAGCGTCCTGTCTCAATGGCCGGACAGGGCTTCGAACCCAATAGCACCAGCAATAAACTCTAGTAAAACCTATAATCATCGCCATACTTGAAAGACTCTTCTAAGGTAATATTAGTAACAACAATGATAAGAGTAATACTCGTCATCATCAGAACAACCATCATCATATTATGTTAGTCCCGAACCCCCCAGGTACCTACTATATAGGGTACTAGAGCCCCTAGGGCCCTATATAGTAGGCACCTGGAGGGTTAGGGCGTAGCTGGGCTCTTGGGCCCCTGCTCCGGCAGACAGCACACCTCGGCGGCCAGAGAGGTTGGGAACACGTGGGAAACGAGCGCCTCCGTGTGCTTTCCTCAAGGTTTGGGTACTGCCCCCAGCCTGCAACAGTCTATGTAAAGGGATCATATTGAGGGCCATATTCGCTTAACTAGAAATATGCAGCAGCCGAAATTACGGGGTCATATTAAGGGCTATAACTTTATTATATAGGTTCTCTAACTGTGACAGAGTTGGGGCAGTACCCAGATTAAGGTGGCGACCAGGTATGGCAGAAGGATCACGACGTAAACGATGGCCATGACGAGTACACCTTCGGCGCCACACTCGGGCGTAGGATGGGAGTCTGGGGCTGTCTCCTTCCATGAATCCATCCGGAAATCGTACCCTCTAGGGTTTCGGGTTTAGGGTTCCCTCAAACTCTCAAGCCATCCGCACAAACCCGGAATGTCACCAATTGGCTCTTGCCTGGCCTGCTTTGAGGGACAGTGCTGCGCCAATTCCAGTGCCCAACATCCTGAGTCAAGCTGGCTTCGAAGGGCTCCGAGCCTGTGATTGTAATTTGCCTGGACAAGACGTATGATAGTATAGCACCATATGATAATATATAATATCCTATAACATAGCATAGTATAGCATAGTATAGTACAGTATGGATGACTGATGTTTCTTGGTCCGTGACGTGGCGAGGAGTCCGGCGGCCATGATCAGGCCGAAAGCCACGCTGCTGTCGCGAGTGTCCTGAGGCGAGTGCTTGAAGTTGCCGGGGCCCGGATATTCTACTGAAATATAGTATGTTGCATTGTGCTATGTTATGTTATATGAGAAGTGAGTATATTGTAGCATCGTATAGGATACTAAGTTACTAGATTATAGCATAGTAAGTATAGCAGATACTAGCTACCAAGGTAGGCTGTCACAGGAATTTGGAACCGGTTACCCAATACAGGCACTAGCTTTGACCCCATGCCGCATACTGAAGTATGTGGAGACCACATCAACTTCTGAAGATCCCTCTGCCCTAAAACCTGTGCGCTCCTCCATCAAATCCACGATGAAGGCGAACCAGATTGCAAGCACCGGCAGTTCTGACGGGATCGCACATGAGCCGCAGGCGTCACAAGGAAATGGTTTAGGTTTTAGAGTAAAGCAAGCCAGACAGGCCTGCCAAAGGTAGGAGAGCAAAGGTGTAGTACAAGCTGGTGTTTCCTCAGACAGATTGACGGCAACTACCGATGAAGGGCAGCGGTTTAGCTGCAGCTGAGCCGCTGTACACGAAGAGAATCAACGCCATTAGGCTCGGGTAGCCAAGGAAACTACACAACCTTGGCGGCACATGTCTATTTTTAGCATCTTCGGGGACCGACCTCCTTTTGAGTCCACGGACAGGACAAAATACTTAAACTAAGCTACCAGTACGCAGCCTAAACCATGAAAGTTTTGGAATTTCCCGAGTGGCGCAGTTGTCCATCAGCTAGCAACTGATCCAAGCTCTTCTAAACTCTGCCGAGCCTCCGCGACCGTGCAGGGACCCAGGTAGCAAAGTTCGGGCAAGCCGCTACTGCGCCGAGCTCATGGTCCGAAATCACAACAACCCCACAGCCTCCGAACTGAACTCTTTTAAGAATTCTGCATCCTCGACCCCTCGCAACCCCAAAGTCACTTCATGTCGCTCTTCGCAACGAGAGCGCCGGCTACACCAAGCCGGGGCGCAGGATCACCGGCCTACGGCCAATCGTGTCGCTCAAGGCGCCCAGGAAGGGGCCCAGCGTGAAGTGGAGGAAGGAGCCCGCAGCCCCTGGTTTTCCGGGTACATACATACATACATACATACATACATACATACATACATGCATACCTACATGCATACATACATACATGTGTATATATATATATATAATACATATATTATATACACACATGCGCACGTGCGTTTATATTGTCTTATATTCCGCTAAATATTCTGCTACATGAGCTTATAGATGATTGTTTCGAAAAGGCCGGGTCGGATGCAAAGTCTGGGTCGCAGACCATGGGTCTCGGCACTCGGACATCTAAGTGATGTGTAGAAAGCACACAGGTCAACCCAAAACCCCACATCCTAAGCCCACAAACCCCTAAACCCCTAAACCCTATTAAACCCCTAAACCCCAAAACCCTCAACCCATAAACCCTAAACCCCTATACACCCAAAACCCCCAAACCCTACACTGCTACACCCCAACCTCTAAACCCCTAAACCCGCAAATCCTCAACCCTCAACCCCTAGAGCTCTAAACGCTTAAATCCAAACGCTCAACCCCTAAACCCCTAAACCCTAAACCCCTAAACCCTTGAATACAAAACCCTCAACCCCTAGACCCTTAATCCTAGAAACTAAAACCTAAACCCTAAACCCCTGAATGCAAAAGCCTAACAAACGAAAGGCAAGGAACATCCCTGATCTGCCTCCGGCTCTCTCTAGGATAGTAGCAATGGTAGTAATGATGCAAAGTTTAGGGTTTAGGGTTTAGGGGTTCAGGGTTTAGGGGTTAGGGCATACTAATCACCATCATCATCAACATCATCGTCCTCATCTTCATATTTGAGAATAAGAGTACTACAAAAATGATAACCAAAACCATCGTAGTAATAATGGAGATGATAGCCAGTAGCGGTAACAACACAGATAGTACTAGTATCCATCGTATTGACGCGTTTAGGATCAGAGTGTCGGGTCTGCAGTAAAAAGTCTAGCTAAGGAGAGGCGTTCGATCTTGGGAGCGGTTTAGGATCCAGGGTTTACGGTGTTTAGGGTTTAGCGTTTAGGGTTTAAAGACCGAGGCTGTAACCCCTGAGTCCCGAGGCCCTGCAACCTTACAAGCCACAGGAAACCCAGACTCCCTAGAAGCCGAAGGTAAACACGAGAAGCCTGAGATGAGATAGCCTAAGTTTCTCATTGCATGTTATTGTTGTTATGATTAGGAATTAATACTGTTACTACTACCACCTTTATCATCTATTATTGTTGTTTCTATTGTTATTACGATTATTATAAGAGAACCAAAGGACTTATCGTGCATGGGCACAGATGCTGGGATGCTCAGTCCGCTGCCAATAATGCTGCTCCAGAAAAGGTTGTCCTTGATGGCCGCCTCGGAACGCACTTGGTGCTATAATCGAATATTAAGAACTCACAATAACAGTAGTAATAAACTAATAAACATAGCAATAATAATAACAATCATACTAATCGCAGGAATAATGGAAATAGTAAAAAAAACAATTTTGTCCGAGTGGTATGGATGCCTTCCCTTGACACGAGGCGAGCCTGGCAGTAAACCAGTTCTGGCGTATCCTCGCAGTGGATATCTTCCGGCCTGCACCCAGCTGCCAGATGTATGGGTTATAGGGCTTCATGGGGTTAACTTCGTGTGGCACGCATCCGCAAACCCCAACAGTCCCACACCTTACTAAACCCTAAACCCCAAACCCTAAGACCCTAAACCCTAAGACCCTAAGACCCTAAACCCTAAGACCCTATAAACCCTAAGACCCTAAACCCTAAGACCCTAAGACCCTATAAACCCTAAGACCCTATAAACCCTAAGACCCTAAACCCTAAGGCCCTAAACCGTCCTCAAGCTCGTGTACTGCTGGGCAAAGAAGTTTAAACCTCGGACCATGGCGGAGCTTTTGGAATTCGGGTTTAGGATCTTACTTAGGGTCTTAGGGTTTAGGGTTTAGGGGTTTAGGGGATTAGGGGTTTAGGGTTTAGGGTTTAGGGTCTTAAACCCCACAGCTTTGCATCT